ATTCTTGGAACCCAACCGAGCAACATTGGGACTCCAACACACTGCACGGCCACCAACTACATCGTACAATCCAACCCACCCAGTGGTCTCGAAAAGCAGGCGTGGCAGGACTTCCAACCTTTGAGGTTTTCCCGTGGCAATTGGCTTACCACGGCACCTCCGAGTTCACCGCCCGCACACTGAGCAACGGCAAATACACAGGCTTTATTGCCACCAGAAGCATAGCGGAGTCGGTTTTCGTGACCCATTTTCTCCAACAACTCCGTGAAAAGCGCCTTGACCTTGACGGCATCGCGGAGACACTCCACACCCAACAGAGCACAGACATCCCCAACAAAACCACCCACGCCCGAGCATTTCACGCTCCCCTCATCAAACTACTAATCGACCAACTGCAAACCCACTCTCCAGCACCTGCGGAAGGCACCGCTCTACGTGCCCTCAAAAACACCAACGACGAACTGGCTCGTGCACGTCAGAAGCTCCACGACCTGGGCAACCCACTCACACCAGTCAAGAGCACCAGCCGATCCTCCGCACCGGCCGCCCCATCTCATGCACCCACTCCACCACCACCCAAACCACCAGCCCTCACCGACGTCTTGCAACCACCACACCCAACGCTGCAAGACGATATCCCCGAAGGCTGGAACCACCCAGAGATCCAACAATGGGTCACTACCTTCGATCCTACCATCCAAGAAGCTGCCAAGGACGTCGTTCGATTGCTGCAAACAAGCAAAGTTACCACGCAGCAGCTCAAAGACGCAGCCACCAAGTATGGCCTACCCCTCAACCGGGTCAACCGACTCCCCATTCGTAGCCTACAACAGCTGGTGGGTGTTGGAGCAGCCATCGGTTGCTGACTCGCCATCCTTGCCCAGCAGCAACCCAGCCACACCAACCTCACCCAACTCTTCCACTTGCACCGAGCACTCTCTATACTCATTCACCGCACCCAATACATCGACCGTGCCGAAGCCATCTTTGCAACCGGCCTTATCCATATCACCCTCCTTTTCGCATACCCTTCCAACACCAATCGCTCACAACAATGGCGCAACCGTCTCCGCCAACTCCATATTTTGCCCCACACATACCACTACCACAACTTCCTCTCCTCGAATTCAGTCTACATCAAGCTCCACTTCAATCCCGACCAGCCTCAACGCTGCTACCATCAGCATGGCCATTTCTATGTTGGCTCCACAGCTATTGGCATTCCCCACCGCGAGCACAATCGCCGCGCCAAACTCAAACAACTCCAAAACAACATCCCCATCTCTGCAGAACTCTCCTTACGTTATTGGCACTCACACAACAACATCCACCACTACACCACTATTCAACTTACTTCCCATGACACATATGACCAAGCCTGGATCCAAGAGCACCACTACATCGCAAACTGGATGCCTACGCTCAATTGGCCCTTCATTTCCCACCACCTCAAGCTCAAAGCTCAGGGCTGGCAGTTCACAAAACACAGAGCCCACTTCTACTCCAGATTAGCAACCCACAAACGACTTTTCCGACGCCTCCGGCAACGCCAGTACACCCTCAGAGAACCACACCTTTACACCTCCACCAAACATCACGCCCTCCAACTTCTCCGCAACCTTACCAAACACACCGCAGCCTCCTTTGAAGCAGCCAAAGAGCTACGAAGTGGCCGCCACACGGACCTTGAAGTCTACGCAATCCGGCGCATGGCCGCAAACCTTGAAGAACCTGGCCGCAGCCGAGCTCTCCACATCCTCAACAAAGCCCTGATCTACCGCAACCTCACACCGCCAAAACCAAATATTCCATTGACAGTGCCCTTCCTGGCCCACGACGACTTCACTAAGCACTGCCAGCAGTGGCTTCGTACCACCATCCAGCAGCACAAGCAGTTCACCATCCCCCTCCACCTTCCCTCCCACAGACTGAGAGAAGCCGCACGCAAAACCCTCCGTTCCCACCTGCATAACCACCGCACATGGGAGGACACCCTCCACTCCCCGCCAGATCCAGCAGACCTCCCCTGCGCATGCGATCACCTTCGCACCCTCTTGCAGGATCCCGATACCCCCACCATCAACGGCCACTACATTCTTACACTGGACCAACTCCAACTCCCTACACACCTCGGCATTTTCCTCAACGCCAATATGAACAGCACCTACTACCCAAGCAAAGCCCGATACTTCCTCATATTCAAGACGGCCTACACAAAATGGCTCAAACTACAAGGGCTTCCGCCATCCCTCGTTCAACATTTGCAGCCATTCCTTGAGCACCAATGGCGCCTCCACAACACACACCTCAAGCAGCAACCCCGTTTTACGGCTCGCCTGCTTCGCCAACTCCAAGAACATCTTGGCAAACACACATTACTCCACCATGCCGACCATGAGCTCCAACAACTCCGGCTGTTTTGCCCTCGCCAATATTTCACTGGCGCCTTGAACACCTGGCAATCCCCCGAACTTTTCGAACCACTTCCCTACATCACTGCCGCCAATATCCACGATCACCTGGCCGCCACTGTCCCCCCCATTTTGCGCACTCGCTACAAGTGGGGCTTCCGAAAAGACTTCAACATTCCATACGGCGTTGTCCACCTCAAGGAGAAGAAGCACTGGCAAAAAGGCCGTACAATTATTTCATACTTCCAATCACTCAGTGGCAACTTGCTTCGCATCACCAGCCGTGCCCTTGACATCATCCTCCAACACCTCTACCCTCAACATCCCGGCCAAATGTCCATTCCCCAGCTTTGGCACCACTTTCACAGCTACCTCACCCAAACACCACCAGACATCTCACTACACGCCACCAACGATGACCTGGTCGGCTTCTTCAACTCAGTCCCACAGCACCGACTCATCGATGCAGTTCACTCCCTCGTCCACCACTGGCAACAACAGCAACCCACACACACCTTGACGGTGGATGTCCAGGCCACCGGCAATCCTTTCCACCACTCACACATTGGCAGACACCATCGGAAACACCCTACCCAACGCACCATCCAGACTTCCGACATTACCACCATCGTGGCTTTTGCCCTCAACACATGCATTTTCCGGGCTTGCAACCATACTTACAAACAAATCCGAGGGGCCGGGATTGGATCCCAGCTCTCTCCAGCCCTATGCAATGTTGCCATCACCCTCATTGAGCACTCCTGGCATCAGATCCACAACAACCTCCTTCAACACACAGACCTCCACTTTACTTACTATCGATATGTCGACAACCGCTTCATTGTCCACAACGAACATTTCCTTCAACACCCGGCTATCCAAACCCTCATCCACCACAATTTCTTTGGCGACCCAGTGGAACTCGAACCGGTGGAGGATTTTCATCTCCTCGGTTTCAACATCGACCTCCCACAACGCACCATCACCTACATGCAACCTTCACAACCCTGGAAAATCCGGGACTCCACCACCGCCGGGAGCCAGCGCTTGGCTCTATCAGGCCTCCAATCACGACTCCACACCATTCGAAAATACACATTTCCACCTGCTAGCGCTGAAGCTGCTGCGGCTGAACTCGTGAACCTATATGTCCAAAAGGGGCATAACTATCACGCCTGCTACCGATTTTTGAAAAAGCGCCGAACGCGGCGACTTGTGTGTGTCCACCCCTGGGCAAAGGGTTTTCCACCACCACCTTTCGCAAGCAGGGGGATCAGGCTTCCAGTGACTAACCTGATCCAACGAAGCTGGGTCACTGGAAGGGATGTGGTTGAGGACGCTCGACCATGTACCTGCTGAGTTTTTCACAAGCTGTGACCCTCCTTCTACACGGTTTGTTTCATGGTGGTTTACATGATACTTCCCGCAAACTTTTCTCCTTCCCCAGCAGCTGCGCCGCCGTCTTGATCACCTCGCAACCGTTTTGAACATAGGACTGCCGGAGTCAACAATGTTTAACAATACTTCTCAGCGGACTCTTTCGCCTTACCGTTCCATCACCTTCCTTCCCATCGTGAACTTGCATTAACGGAATACAAGTGTCAGAGTGTGTTTGTTTTATGTTTGGGGGGGTTCTTGTAGGACAACTCTCGTTTTGTGGCATCTCACGGGAATGCCCCCCTACAATGGATCGGACCCCTACAATGGATCGGGACGCATTCGAATGTGGTTCAGAAACTTGAGCAACCTCTAAACGCGTTGGATGAAGTGACAGCTATGCCAACAACACATGGTGGCCGGTTGTAACTTTGCAGCCTCAAAGCCTGCTCGCTAGCGATGGTGTCAAGGTCCTTCCCACGGTCTGTGACAAGATGTCAACAAGAGCCACTTGCGCACCTTTGATGCAAAAGCTCAGGACTTGTTCAAATCCCTGAATGGTCAACTGCGGGCTGCGTAGTTCTTGACATCGTGAAAACAGCACAGTTGTATACTGAGTCTATCCTATTACCAGTAATTAACCGTGGATGATGATGGTTACTAAAGATAATATGTGATAATCGCTTACACGTCAGTGTGCTACGCCTTGTGTGAAAAGGCTCTTGTTGGACAGTCCGCCTTCTTTCCCCTGATCCAGCTGAACCTCAAACAAGAGGGGGTCACCACGGCCACGAAAGGATCGCCAAGTGGAGGGAAGGATCGGCTTGGACGGCCTCCAAGGTGGCCAGCGCACCCGACAAACCACATTGGTTAAGGATAAGGACGGTCTATCCCTAGGCCTCCAAGTACCTTCCCAGAAGGTGTTTGGGGTGGGTTTGGAGGGTCCAAATACCTTCTGAGGAGGTACTTAGAGGTGTAGGGTATAGAATCTTGGCCCCTTAACTATTCAGAAGGGATCCGGTGCGTGTCCAATCACCAACCCCCTCTCGACCGGTTCACCTAGTGACCACCTCTCCTGACCTCCCAAACCGACGGAATTGCTCCTCCTCACCCCTAACACTTCTTGTCGTTCCTTCTCAGGCGGTGATGTGTTCGGCCCTGTTATATTCCAGTGATCTGTTCGCAACGGCTGACCTGCTGGGGAAACCCCACCTGCAGCGCTCTCTGCATCAGCCTTTTCGCCGAGGCCGATGGATAGGACGAGCGGTTTTCGGCATACGTGATATTGGTACGTTTTCGGTGAGCAGGTGTTGGTTCCATGTCCTATAATTACACCTGTTTCTTGTTGATCTTTGGTTTGTAGATGTTTGGTTTTGGAGGCGCAAGTATTAGGCAATGAAGCTATATGAAGCTCAAGCATGCTTTGCCACAGGTGCCTTGTATCTCGAGCTTGAATTTCTGGCTTTTCCTGCAGCCTCCATTTCGGTGCGACACATAGAGCCCATGCATTGAGGGATAGGGGGAAAGACAAATTGGGCCGTGCCAAGAAAATCGAATTGGAAACCTAAGAAATCGTAAGCGTGGGTGGATGTGATATTGCCAAACAATAGAGAAGATCGCATGTTGTATCCTGCAATTGACCAAACAATTCTTGCTTATGGGTTCCATAGTCTGTTAGTTCAGAGCCAAGATGGAGTCTTTGAAGGAATCAAATCATAGTGATGATGTTCATCATAAATCTAAGGGTCTTGGACAAAAAACGCTTCAACCCTCAGCATGAGAAACACAATAGACACAGGACTACCATCTACTACCCCAACAACGACAATGTATAGCTACAAAGAGTCGTCCCAGAAGACTTCTGGGCTGTCTAACAACAAACATCAACAACACACACCCCATTTCAAGTATCTCATAGGACAACAAAAATCAGTATATCTCAGTGCTCCTTTCACGATCCAATTCCTTCCACTCTGCCTGCAGTGCTGCAGAGGCTTCGTAGCCCGAATTCGATTGGCCTGCGACCACCGGATCTGAGGATCACATGGAACCCCTTGCAACCACATGGGTTGGTAAGAACATGTAAGAACGGAACATGGTCGTTTCACCCACCGGTCTTTCTTCTCAGCTTCGATAAATCGTTTGCGCGCGCTGATTTTTTGTTTCTGAACCTGGGCATCTTCGGGTGTTTTGTTGACGGACCTCTTGGGAATGAAGGATTGCCCCCTCTGACAACCTCTGAACCCATCCTGAACCAGCCGACCAAAAAAAACCGACCCAAACCGATTTTGTCTCAATCCTCATCTGGTCAAACCCCGGTTGACGCCATGTTTTCTCCTGAACCCGGTTGACCTCGACTGGTCGAATGCGACTGGGTCTCCCGACACCTCGAAACACCGGTCCCACCTCGGTGCACCGCATAGCAGTCGGAGATCACCGTCAAGCCTCGGTGTGTCGCGTGGGGTGTCGTGTTTGGGTGCGGGTGTCGTGGATCCAGGGGGGTTCAAAAGATGCAAAAACTCAAAACCTATACCGGCACCCGACTCTACAGGTCTCCGAAATGGTGGCTTTTGGAGACTTCAAAGTCGCAGGTGGTGACCTGTTGGAAGGTCCTGGTATACAAGTACCTTCTGAGAAGGTGATGTGTTCGACACTGTTATGTAGGTGCCAGGAGGGTCCAGGTACCGAACCTGAGAAGGTACGACTGGATCCCTAGAGCTAAAGACATGTTGAGTCTTTGGAGGTATTGGTCGTGACGTGTTTTGGCATGCGATGATTATGATGGTATCTGTAAAGCAAAAAGGACAACCTTGGATAACTACCACGGTTATATGACCAAACATGACCAAGGAATCTAATCCACTTTCCTCTTCGCATCGTCACCTTTCAAAGTGGCGCGGCTCACTCATTCTATCGTTTGTGGACTTTGCAGCCTGACTTGGTCATGTGTTCACGTTTCGACTCAAACCCGGCAACATGTGTTGCCACAACAACCGTCCTCCCGTGGACCGTCCGCTTCGGCCCCTCGCAGCACTGGGTGCTCCCGGACAGCAGCTCAGAAGGGGCGGTGACAAGGGCAAGCGCGGCGAGCGACTGCGGCAGGACCTGACTCGACCGGCCACGACTCCGTTTCGGCCGGTCGGTTCGTCCAGGTGTTCTCGGGCCAATGGACTTGGTTCATTCAAAAGGCCCGGGATCTATCGATCTATAGTGAAACCTGGAAGGAATGTCAAGAAAGCACATGTTTGCATGTTTTGTGAGCAGTTTGGAAGGACAAGTCAATCCTCCATCCTTTGGACATGAACAGAAAGACATTATCATGGGTATAATTACAGAATCCATTATATACCTTCGTGGTCTTACATTTGTCATACTATATGATATTATATGTTCCTTTACTTATACCCAGTGTTATCCCATTTGTAAGACCTGGCTCGATTCAGGTCAAAAGCATACAGTCGTGCGATCCTAAGGATATCTTTGTGAAGTGTCCGACACCATGTGTTGTATTGGTTTCAGAATTCAGAGTATACATATATGTATATAAATGGCACAAGCCCCAAGATGTCCTTTAGAAGGGTCCTTTAGAAGGGGGTTCAAATAAACCACCTTTTGGGAATTGTGCCATCTACTCACAACCCGCAATATTATAGTTATATAGCATTCTTCGTGCCTTAGTCAGCTGCAAGTCGGATTATGATAAGCAGTGGATCCATGCAATTCTTGTGCACCCTGCTAATTCTCATTTCTTCCTCCATTGTCCGCACCCAGGCAAAATCTGGAACTGTTTCCTGCTGCACACCTCCAGGGAATCAGCTGCATACTAAATCAGGCTGGCCACTATCGTCTTGTATCGAAAGAACAAACTATGAACCCAAATCAAGCCATTTCACCCCCTCTTGGTCTTTCTTCCTATCCTTCCAGGTCTCCTCCCACCATTGCTTGAGAACTTCTGCCCCCTTCCATTGGGCAAACGTTCTCAACCAACGCTTCCCAGCGTCCTCTTTTCACCTTCGCCTCCACCTCCACTTCGCCTCCACCTCCCCGGGCGTCCACACATCAAAACCAAGGCCCGAAGCACGTCCAGCAGCGCGTGGCGGATGAGGAATTCGCCCTCCTCCGGACGTCGCCTCAAGGAGGAAAACAACATAATAGAAACTAACAAAGAAAACGGAAGGCCGACGAGTTTGGGGGGACTGGTGAAAAAGACTTAGAACCTACTGTAAATTTGAGCTTCAAAGATGTTGTGAGAATGAGCAGGTGATCTTTTTTACTTTGTGGCAAAACCTTGGGAAAACACCTCTCCGAGCCATCTTGGCTTTCCGCATCTATAGGTGAGACCAACAGAGCGGTCTCCCAACTCTTGAGTGCCAAAAACAGGAACAAAACAAGACCACTAGCACCTTCTAAGGGGTCACCAAAAGCAAGCCCATACACTGCTGTCTGGATCTCCAGACAGGACACTGCTGACAGGAAGGTCCGAGCACTGCTGGCAATATTTAATTTTAGGAGTGGTAACAATTGATGTTACAGACTGATTGGTGGTAACCCCTTGAAACATCTTTAATATAAACTAATGTTTGTCCCTCTGACCGGAAACAAACACATGGACTTCCATGAACCCTTGATGATTTTGTTCCAGTGGCCAAAGCTCCAGGAGCTGCTGCATGGTTCGCTCGGTGACCTCACATGGGCATGGGCGAAAGCAAATCCTGAGGAACTCACCATCCCAGACCCTCCATGATATGGAGGTGCTTGAAAAGGTATCAGTATTAAGTACTAAGATGTATTGAGTATTGGGACATGGGAATTTTGCTATTTAGAGATGAATTGATATGATTTGAGTACATAATACAAATGCCATACAATAGATTGTCGAATGACAAATGCCGATTTGAATCCCAAACACTCCATGTATGTCATATATGCCTACATTAACCCCCAGTCAACCACCCCAACTGATCGGCAAACATGGCAGTCCCATGGGTGGTCTGGGAATGTTTCCTGGAGGCCATCGCTATTAGGTTGGAGGGCCACAGCCTTGGTGGCAAACACAGTAGCCTGGTGGCGGCCATACCTCCGTCGATGTCCTTTAGATGGGGATCTAATATACATAAACCGTAAACCCCTTTCATCTACTCTGGAAATTTTGTACCACCTACTTGGGTAATCCTCGTACCTTCACTGATTCCACCGGTTCCAGTACGACTCACCAGGTTACAAAACGAGATGTAAGGGAAACGATGCTACCATTCTGCAGTGGCAACTTTGGATGCACTATGATTCACGATACTTCAATGGCTTAACACATGCGTCAGTCGGTCCCGCAGAGCCGCGAGAGCCCCATTTCGCCTGATACCGGCCACTCTCGGCTTCCTCCACGAGGAAGAGGTTCACCAAGTTGAGGCCTGGTGATACGAGTTACGGAGGCGAACTGATGCGTTCTGTGGACATGTCCTTCATACCTCGCGTCAAAAAGGCTAGCAGGTAGATCTCTAAAGTCATGTGTTTCTTCTAAATGAATGGCAAACCTATAAAGTTTACTTTCAATTGAGCACTTCATAGGGGCCAATAGAAGAACATGGCACCTGTAAGGTAAGTTATTCACTGGTTCTGGTGCGCATGTGTTAATGTTGCTACTTGGATTTCTCTATCGGCATCAAACCGTGGGGAATGGTATCCTCTGCATACAAGTGTTTTCGAAGGCAGCCTTCGTGCTGGAAATGCTGGCTTTCATGATCTCACATGACAGTCACTCAATGTAATTAACTTCCATGCTGTTTCTCGTTGCTCTTGTTCTTGATATTTTTCTTATGATTCCACATAATATTTGTCTGTTTATTCTTTGTCTGCCTCATCGTCTTGGTCTTTCATCCTGTTCAAATCCTTCTTCCTCCTCTTCTTGTTCTTCTTCGCCTGTTGCTTCACATTCTATGTATTTGTCCGCTTCTAAAAACCGGCACAAGCATGCATCACACATCATCTAATGTGCATTAAAAACTACATACATGTTCAAAACAGCCTCCATGGTGGTGTTGCTGAACCACGTCATATGAGTCATACCCGGTTCACCAGAAAAACGCTCACGTGCTCACCTCTTGGACTCCAGTGGCCTGCATGGACCTGCAGAAAGCCTCGTGACGCGGTGGAAGAACATCCCCAAAGACTCCATGTATGTCTCGTTTTGGCTGTATGTGTGCAAGACCCACACCCATGAAACCATCCGGTCAGTAGCGGCTAATTATGTGCAAGGACTATATAGAACCTCACACCTGGACCATGAAATCTGCCACCATTGGTTCTTGCTTCTCATCATCTTGAATCCATGGCGCCATGAACTCAGACATCGACCAACCTTCCGCTGGGCACCGTCAACGGTTCCCTTACATACGCTCCTCACCGAAAAACCCGGCCTTTCACCGAAAAGCCGCCCAACTCTGAGCATCCCGGACATCGCCATTGGATCTCCGGGCTACTCACAATGCTCAAGAGCGCCTCGGCGCGACGGGACGAAGGACGGATCCGTGCGGATGGAGAACGGGTCTTCTATGGCCAACGCCAGCTGGCAAGCTGACCATGGTGAGGACATAGACCTGGAAATAGCTGGAAATAGACCATGGTATATATACTCTGCCTCCAAAGATTGAGTGATTTAGTGGATCCAGGATGATCGATGATCGATCTTCATGGAACAGTTGAACAGCCCCATCCCTTTGTCGTCGTAGAATGTCGTCTTCCTTTCGGGGCGTTCCACATGTTCCACTTTCCATGTGTGGAGGGATGGTAAGTATGACAACCCAACAGATCAAAATGGTCAAGCCCGATGGGGCCACGGTACAAGTGAACGTAGCTCAAAACATGCAAGTATTCAGTGAAGAAAATAAATAAACACCTGAAGTGGGCTGTGTAGTTGTGGGTCCACTTGCCTTGGTGCTGGAGCTTCGCAAAGTCCCAGATTTTGCATCTTGGGCTGACACACGTGGTTCTTGTGGTAAAATCCACAGATGTTGGCATGTCGGCATACATCGCAAAAGATTTGTTGCCGATGGTAGGGTTGCTACATAAGAGATGGATAACATTTGACATTTGGAAATCCAAGCATGGTGAAATTGGGACTTTTGTGCCTTGGTTCCAAAACGTTGTCACCCTGGAGTCATTAGGCCGAACGAAAACAAAAAAAACACAATACAATTAAACAAACAACACGATTTGGCAGCTGGGGCCCTGGCTAGGGTTGAGTCAATGAGGTTACTTTGAACCTTGCACCGTGTCGGATGAAGATCCAAAGCAGGACATAGCAGGACCACTTATATAGGAATAAATACCAAGTACCAGGTATGTAAAAATATTGCACACAAAAACAAAGTGCTTCTGTTGCGCTATGCTTGTCGCTTTCCTCATAAATATGTGCACAGCACTGTGCAGTAATTGGGGGAAACGGCACCGCGCAGCTATGCCATCCCCAGTGGCCCTTGACTGACTGTCCGCAAGTGTGAGAGTTGCATGATATATGATACACAGTAATGTAGACTCTTGATTAGTAAACCCACCCATTTCAATAGGACATCCTCTTCATGTGGGGGGGTATTTTCCTCAAGAGTCTACAGTATGTAATTCCCTAGGGCTCAAAGGCTCGGTATACAAGAAGGTCTTTGGGGTGGGTGGGGGTGGGTGCCATGTTCGGGTCCAGTCATTCCTTCTGTTGAGCTACGCAAGCGGAGCCTAATTAGGATGATGTTGTCCTTGGGATCGGTTTAGCTGGGCATTCTGTTTGTCTCCGCGACTCTATATATATGATATATATATATATATATATTAGCCCCCGAACCTTTCCATCTTTCACGTCGACCAACCAGTCGTTTTACCTTATAAAGCTCCATTGTGAGTCCGGTTTTCTGAAGCCCCTTTTCCCCTGCGTGGCTGGGGACATGTGCTGCACATGAGAGTTGAAAAGCTTCAAACATCACCTCCCGCATGTCGATGATTCATGAGTCACTGCAGTTTCACATCGTTTTACATTGTCCCAGCGATTTCTTCATGTGGAGAAACACAACTGATCCAACGTAATGTAGATTCTTGATGAACCACTGATCCCACCTCTTTCATGGGGGGGTCATATTCATCCAGAGTCTACATTAAATCCGTTCGCCGGCTTCCGAGAGGTGAGACTCTCATGACCTAGCAACCACAGCGGAGACCACGCACGGCTGGCAGCCGCGAGCATCGCTCCTGCCTGCGTCCAAGCCTCGTGGTCTGAGAAACGTTCCAGCCTTACGGCACGGGGCACGTGCCCTGTGAGGTTGAGCTGGGTTTAACAAGATTTCGTGCCGTTGCAGACTACAAGTCTGAGCAGGAGGCTCACAACTGACTACAAGTCCGCAAGGATTTGCAGCCCATGATAGTACCAAGAATCTCTGGCAAACACCATGGACCGCAGCTCCCAAGAAACTATCCCAGAAGACTCGTGTTGCAGTAGACTGAGGCTGTGATCTGAGACTGACTACTCAGCTGTCCCAGACACTCCATGGGACTGGCATATATATATGCCTACATTCACCTCTGAAACAACCCCAACTAATCGTAAAGATGGCAGTCCGTGTGAGTAGTGAGCCAGAATGAGTGAGCTGTGGACCGAGCTCTTGAACTGGGCAGCCGGGATTGATCCTCTTTCAGTCCATGGACTGACATATTCACCTACATTGGGGCGGTTATATTAAATACGTATATATATATATTTATAGTTTATATGTATTTTATTCCATACCAGTACATGGAGTGTTTGGGTACTCTTCGGGCTTGAAAAAACGCATCTCGGCCAAAAAAGCCCAAAAAAGGAACGGTTCCGATGTGGCGGATTCCGTCGTGGAACATCTCCCACGTCGTCGGACCACGTGGAAGAACAGGTCGCTCGGTCGCCCAAGGAAGCAGCTTTTCGACGACTGCAGCCCGGCCAGAGTCCCAAGGAAAGCTCTTGAGCTAGGCATTTATATAATACCTGCAGTCTGGACCCTCTCGTGAAATTCAGACTTGCCGTTGTCGTAGGTTTCTGGCCGTTTTGGGGGGCTCATCCTAGGGCTGGGGCTCCAGGCCCACATCCTCAGAATGTAGGTAGACCCCCAAACTCACCCACCCCAATGGGCAACAAACTGCCAAGCATAGCAACTGTCTCACAACACTCACAAAGTTGGACCGAACATACTTTACTCCACTCTGGTCGCACCCAATTAATGGATATTTATGTTGAAATCTCAGGTTCCACAATGACCTTCAGCCAAGAAACACACAAGAGAAACATACTGATACTCATACACTTCAACCTCCCAGAGCTTCATACTCTGCGTCTCTTTCGTCTCACCGGGAAGCCCGACAACACCCTCACCGGAGAAAGCGCCGCCAGGCGCACCGCCTGGTGACATCGGGGGATGTGTCCGTCATCCGTCCACTAAGTGGTTAAGTGACCTGAAAATGGACCTTACTAACCTAAAACAGGTCACTAATACTCTAGGGCTTAGTACCTAAGAGGTTAAGTGACCTTACTGGAGTAGCTAATATGGGATAGTCGAACTAGGGTTCTGCAACCTGACTGGGTGCCCACTGGGTAGGCGAGGGGTCCAGGGCATCCGGTCGCTCCGGACGCAGTGGAACTTCAGAAAAGACTCACTTTGGAATTGGATGGTTGATCCAATATTCGGGTGAAGACTGCGAACCCAAGTTTGGGATGGACAGTTTTCTCCAACAGAATTACTGTTTGTGCAAGAACCTCCAAAACTCCTGCACTGGGTCTCCAAGCCCTAGGGATCTAAGCACGTTGTCAGGTACGGTGGTTGGAGACACTGTAGGTGCCAAGCGGATCCAAGTATATATCGAACCTGAGCAGATACCCTATAGAGAAGTTAAACTGATTCAGCGGCTTGAAGATGTGGATGTACAGCGACCACAGCGACCAGCGGAGAGATGACCAGGGGGAGTCAAAACAGGGCGGACTACAGGGGGGTTACCCCCATGTAGTAAGATATCAAAAGCAAACATGTTTGGAAGTCGTTGCTATAAAGGACTTCAAGCAACAAAAACACACTGCTTTTCCACATCACATCATCTGGCCGCTGTATACGGTGGTTGATCAGTTAGTTCTTTCACAAAGAAAGGCATCCAATCCGCCACTTTCGTTCCAATCCGCGAACGGACGTGCTTCTTCCGAAGAACCGGCTCAAGAAAGCAAACATGCAGGACAGTGCTATCTTTGTTTGACATTTGCTTGCAAGGTGCTATTTGGAGTGGAACACAACCAAAGGACTTCCATGATGAGGCCAGTCCGGATTAACATAGGCAATCGTTTTGCCGTTAGTATTGGGAAGGAGGTCATACCCTGGGTATCCATCATTCTTCAGGGTGCCCACGCCAAACATGTGACCTGCAGGTCAGCGGGTCATGAATAATATCCAAGCAATGCGTGGGACTGGTATATACTACATGTCTACATTGGCCTGTGAAACCACCCCCAATGTGCCCAATTATGGTAAATATGTCAGTCCCATGGAGTGTCTAGGATATAGATAGATAGATAGTTAGATAGATAGATACAGTAGATAGATAGACAGATAGGATAGTCGACCTCGAGATTAACCCATCATGATCATATCGATCGACGTCAAAAAGGGCCATGTCCACGTTGACCAACTACTATCCGCCTCCAAATCCGTCGGCAGACTTTTTGGGCTTCAGGTGCCAAAAGCCAACTCATGGACTTTTGCTTCCAATTGCGAACCAAAACGACGGAAGTTGCTGCTACACCTCCCCACCAGCCCTATCTCGCCACGCTGAATGGATTCGTCTTCGTCCCGCTAGACCGAACCGCAGCCGCGCGCCGAACCGAAGCCAAAACCGCGGAACGAAACCGCGAAGCCGGTCACCTTCGGGCTCTCGGCGCTCAAGAAGGCTTGAAGCAGTTGTAGGACCGACCTGTGCGAGCGGTGACTGCGATGTCGTCGATGTGGAGGTTCTGCCGCCGATGTCGTTCCGCCCGCGGAGACGCTGTCGTTCGGCTTGCGGTGTCTGGAGACTCGGGCGGAGACGGTTTCACTTGAGCACTCATCAACATATAGTTGATCATCTGGAATGAGTAAGGATTTGTTTCTCTAAAATAATTCTCATCATTAATTACTCGTGTTTAGGTGGCAGGCGCTTTTTGTGGTTCGAATGAATCTGCGCCAATCTGGGGCATACGAGTAGATCATAGATGTTCATAGCATGCTGGGGGGAAACGGTCACATCAAATGAACAAAATGATTGCAAGCAGTTTCATGCTAAACGAAACCGCGTAAAGCGCTTTGAGAGGATTCAGAGACATCTGAGAATTGGTTGAGCAGGGACCCCCTGGTCAAATCCATAGGTTGTGCCTGTAATTTCCCAGTGATTCCGGCAGTCCGGAACAGTAGAACTCCTCATCGTGCTTCTTTGCCACATCGACTTATCTGCAGGATCCCCAAATATACAGTATGTTCAGGATCGCAATAATGGGCATCGGCACACCAAGATAATAAATAAATATAGATATTACATCTATATATACATCTATATAATATATATATATATATCATCTATATATCTGTATCATGTAGGCACAAGACACACAAACTCACCCAACATCCACATCAACTGAACTCTGTTTGGCTCTTCGACTTCATCCTCCAAAGCGAATCAGCCCAGACTCACTCCATCCCAGAAAACGCTGCCGAGCCACATCAAGCAGTCGTTGGGAATGTCCGAGGCCCACGCCCTGGACGCACGTCCCGCCACGTTTTCAGCTGTCCCAGATAGATTGTGAAAGGGATTCCTTTGATATGCCTGGATCTTCAAACGGCCAACATGGATGAACGTGGGCCAAATGTTTGCCCGAGGCCTTTCTTCGGTTGGCAAGATGCCGCAACCAGTGGTTGCCAACATTGTTGCTCCAAACCCATGGAAATGGAAAAAGCACCATTTGGATGCCGCAAGATGTCGTCTTTCTGGCTTCCCACTTCATCCACCAGTGCCGTTTTCCACCTGATCATCACCCAAAGACGCCGTCGTTGGGAAAAGCTGCCCGTCAAGGCGAACGGGTCGACGGCGAGGTCAATGGGATGGTACCGCAAGATCCCTGTGGAGCTGAGACTCTAAATGCCTTCTTTGTGTGTATTTTGTTTCTGATCGGACAAATCTTTTGTTTGATGTCAGCTATCTTTGTTTCTCCCTTCTAAAGCTCCCTTGATGAAACCATCATTCACTGACACAGGTATAATAGGTGTGTAAGTATAGGTGAACGGGCGATATCCTGTGCTTCAACACGTCCGGACTGTAAGTCGTCTGACTGCCTGGGGCGAACAAATGTTTGAACCGCCCTGATGCATGGATTAGATCCTTTTTTGACTAATGGCCCCCCCCCATCCCTGTGAAATGGTGTATCAGTGTATCATGTATCTATATGTCACTTCTGCCATGTACATCCATCTATATGCACATGTCTGGGATTCCCTCACAGTTAACAGGCTCCACTCACCTCGTACCCGAACACCTTCCTCATCTCCAACATGTTTTGTTCATCTTCAGATCCATTTTCCTTCAGCCACCCTCCGCCCTCGCCTCACCGTTGCCAACCCCAGTCCACTCCCCCGCTCCTCAAGACGCTGCAAAGCCTCACCGGGAGAAGCACCGCACAGCAACCGCTTGACCTCGACAAATGCGGCAGCAACTGCGCAATGGGCGCAAAGGCAGCCAGCATCACCTGGAACCTGAGCAAATTGGAATGGTTGAGGCCTCAACGGTTGAGGCACCGAACAACCAGGGAGGAAAACAAATAGGCACCAAAGCAGCTTCGGGAGGCGCGCTTCGATGATTTGATGTGGTTTTGTTTGGGGACGGAGTTTTTTTTGGGGGGGACTGTTGATTCATGTGGATTCCACATTGTTAAAGGTTGAAGCTTCCTGGTGTTCTTTGCTTTGGATGTGCCAGTGTACAAAGGTTTTGGCTGCAATTTCAGAACCTTATAATATACGAAGCAAACAAACACTCTTTTGACTGACCAGCTTGCTCCTGCAACAGTTCTGGAAGTCACTGTATATACCTCAATACTTTGTTTATTGTGTCTGTGGCGTTTCCACTTTGAATCAATTCCATGACAGAACTCTTCTATTCTTGTGGACGAAGAACCCTCCGAGGCGTGCCCTAAACAGGTGGAAATGGCTCAATGCTACTACCGATCATGGATGTTTTCCGCGAATAGATGGACATATTTGTTGCTTCAACATGCTTCAACACAAAAAATGTAGGTCAAATTGTCTTCAATAAGGTTCTTGCTTCTTTAAGCTACAAAAAGTTTGTCCTAAATCAGTGTAGTTAGCACTGTTTACTCTAAGTATCTAAAAGTTGTATCAGTATAGTATATAGATTTACATAAGCCCTAAGAATCCGGGCCCTCAAACACATAGGGTGTTGAGGGCCCGGACCCCTGCGAAGGTGTCGGGTCCGACCCCTGCCACGGAGAGCCCAATGATTCTTAGGGAGATATATTCTTATAGATGACCATAATTAATTCAGGGGATCTGATCCCTGGGTGCATGTGCCGACCAATTCTTCTCATCAGTGACTGGGTTTCGGGCTGTAAGTGCGGCAACAGCTGCGAGTGGCACAAGGCCAACAGTGACAGCAGCATGTCCTGTTGCCAGTTCGGAGAAACTGCGACATGTTTCAATCTGTGTTTGACATCACTTGCTCCCAATCTGACGGTTCCAAGAAACCAGAAACACCACTCGGACATACCGGGCCTGCCTATTGAGTGCCTCACCACATGATTCATGTTTTAGTTTTCCATGTTCTGCGGCATCCCGCGCGATTCTGCGTTTTGCATTATTCCCCAAGCTCTAGCAGCATGAATGTTCGGAGACTATTACTGTATCCGCTATCAGCACACTGTGTGTTTGGATACGATACAAAGACAAAGCCTTTTCGGTCCAGAGCAAAGAAACCGCTTTTGACTCACATGACTCAGCATGGCACTGGCACGTGCCAACCCACCGACCGGTTGACCTATTTATAGAACCCGTGTCGTCAACGTCGACACCGGCTCATCCGGTGCCGCCTTGCGCACGACGACCTCGAAGGGATCGTTGGGGCTGACCGGGGACTGCGATTCCTCCTGGAGCTGTGGCAGCGGGACGTGGGTTCAAGGAAGAGGAGCTAGGAGTGAGCCCGGTGAAGATGTTTAAGCCGTAAAACAAACTCATCAGGTGGGGGGACTTGGGAGTCGGGTTTGTTCAGGGATTTGCTATATTTCAAACAGCTAGGGCTAGGGCCTTCACCAAAGCATTGACAGGCCTTACAGGTGCCAAGTCGCCAGGTGTTCGGCTCTCAGGTGCCCCTCTGCCGTCCATGATCACGTGATCGCGTGCCCATGTCGATGGACTTCCCAGCAGCTGGTTGACTAGCTTCTTGCGAACATGTCCGACACGGACATGGATCTTCTTTTGATTGCATTGATTTGACGATGTATGTACACATATATATATATATATATTGTATTATATATATTGTATATACTATTATTATATGTACTATATTGTTCGGTCAGTGCCTGTTGAGTTTGATCCTGCTGACATTTCAATGATTTCTGTTCCTGTTGATTTCTTCAATTGTTGGTAAGTTTGAAACAGGTGCTTCGCCTGGGCTTGGTGTGATTCGATAAACCACAAAAAGAAAAAACCATCTACACTCACGTCATCTCACATGGCTGAGTCAAAACCTGCCCCAAACCCTGGTCCACAGTTAGTCTAGCCCGTTCATAAGTCCCAAAACACACAGCCCCTAGGTCCGCAGTCTGTGGGATTCCCCAGCAATCGGTGTTCCGTCCCCCAGTCGCCGACGAAGAAACCTTTCGACCCTGCGTTGGAGCATGTTGGAGCCCTCAATTTACTCGAAACCTGACACCCAAGTTACAGTAGAGGCATCGGGTCGGCTTGCGTGAGCCTGGACATTATTATCACGACCTTCCAGCTGATGAATGAAACTCATATTTGTTTTTCCCATCCTTGGCCTTCTTCTGACCTTGTTGGGAGCTCGATGATCTAGGCCCGGGCACGGACTGGGCCTTCCACCACAGAAAAACACATTTGATAGACTTCTGCCTGGCAGCAGCTTTCCATGGTCAGATCGCATCTCTTGCAGGTCTGGCTGCTGTCCTGCAGCCGGCCATGACCACGTTGCAGAACTGGCCCAAATGGCTGGAACCCAGCCTGAGGTGCATCTCTTGGCCTGTCACTGGTGCCAATTGTTTGGAGCTGGCTGCCACCAAGTCCGTTGGACTTCACCTGCTTGCTAGTGTCCACCTTGTTGGACAACTCGATGCAGTCATGCCATATCTGGGGCTCCTTTTTCAGTGCAGTCATGCAAGTTGTCACCCCCTCTGTTGCTGGGGTGGACAAGCAAGTTGGCTGGTGTCACCTTCACTTAGTGCAAATTGCCCACTAGGGCCTATTCTGAAGCTCTTCTGCGCACCATTCTGCAGCGGCACCTGATTTGTGAAAGGACAAGTGCTTGTGACACCCGTCTTGTTTTCATGCCGGGTGTTGCAGTAAACCCAACAGCTGTGTTTCCAATGCTCATCTCGTCTTGTGTTTATTCCCGAATGCGTAGCGAAGGGTTCTCGTTTAACTCTGGGGCCGGGGGTCTGGGGGTAAAGCCTTGTTCGCGACTCGTTCGCCGCTATGGCGCTCACATTGGGGGAAGCTTTTGGAGAGGGCTTTGGATGGAAACATGACGTGTCAGATTCGTGTGAAATAGCGAGGAGGATGAATTCACTGCGCAGGCGCAGCGTTTGTGAGATCCGCAGTTTTCTGCGCAGTCACATTGGGATTGGCGTTTGGAGGGTGGTGTCTTTGGGGTGTTGGGGGTGGCTGTGGCATTGGGATTTGCGTTTCAGGCTGTTGCTTCGAAGCGGTGTTTTTGTGACAAGTCTCAGCTCAAATGGCGGTTTTGGTCGTACGATACGCTCGTTTTGGAGACTTGCCGCGTGAATTTAGGAGGAGGTCTCGGACGAAATGCTCGTTTTGCAGACTTCAAGTGTGAGTTTTTGAGGAAGTCTCGTGCGAAGCGCTCGTTTTGCAGACTTGACGTGTGACTTGACTTTTGGAGCTTTGGAGACACAACAGTTGACTTGCCCCAGCAAGAGTGTTCCACAAGAGTGTCCGACAAGAGTGTCCGACAAGAGTGTCCTACAAGAGTGTCCCACAAAAGTGATATACAAGAGTGTCGCAGAAGAGTGTCCCACCAGAGTGTCCTACAAGAGTGTTTCGCAAGTCCCACAGGACTGTTCCGCAAGAGCGTCCCGCACGAGCATCCTCCGCAAGAGTGCCCCACAAGAGTGACACACAAGAGTGTCTCACATGAATATCTAAGAGTGTCCTACAGAGTCCTACAAGAGTGTTCCGCAAGAGCGCCCTACAAGAGTGTCCTACAAGAGTGCCCCACAAGAGTGTTCCACAAGAGTGTTGCACAAGAGTCCACAAGACTGACCCATAAGAGTGTCCTACAAGAGTGTCCTGCAAGAGTGTCTGCAAAGTGACGAAAGTGTCGCACGAGAGTGTCCCACAAGAGCGTTCTCCTACAAGAGTGTCAAATGTTTGGGTGTTTGTTTTCGTGCACGTGTTTGCATTCGGGTTCGTTGGTTCCATCTTGTTTTTGATCCTATATATGTAATATGTACTGTGTTTGCTTGTTGCTTTTAGCGCAAACCATTTTAGAAGACCAAATCCAGATATATGATGCTAAATAAACAAACTGTCTGTATAGAATCAAGAGCACCAAGAACATGCATGTAGTATAGAACCGAGCTCACAAAATCAAACAAACATGCCAGACAAATATATTGGCAAAACATGGCCACTACAAAATCAAGATGCCTCAGGGGCGGGAAGCCCGATGGTTCTAGAGTGGCTACAGGGGCAACCAAACTTAGAGTATAGTAAGCATATCTACGCAAATTGCAGCACACACTCTTTTTATCTGTTTCCACCGTGTGTATTCTCTGACAAGTCAGCACCACATGTGTCTTCTGGATTCGCTGCGCCGAAACCGGCGTGATCGTGGTTCAAAAAGGATACTGCTGAACAACACCAAAACGATCCAAAAAGCAAATACATAATATACATGTATCTTTAATTGTCTTCCGGAATTGGCATGAATTTGCAAACCAATTGCAAAGCCAAGGACTGCAACAACAAACAATGAGCCTGCACAAACTCTTTGTAGAATCAAGTGCACAACCTCTTGAAGCCTAAAACCTCTATTGAATCATAGGACCTGAGCTTTTAAAAAAGCAAACAAATGGACACACACACACATATATATATATATACCAGGTGGCCCAACCTTAAATCATGCTTACGCACCCTATTGTTTAAACATTTTGCGTTAGGTACCTTTATCGAAATCAAAAAGGCAGGGTTCGTGGATCGAAAAAATACCCGATGTCCGACAGTTATACACGCAAAGGGATGCTTTTGCTATGCAGGCATCTCCTCCCGCTTCAGCCGTCTCGTTGAAGGCTCAGGCTCTGAGCTTCGCTCCAGGCTGTGCGTTCTCTAGCAGGGCCGAAGGACGTCGATGGTCCACCAAACCTGGCGAACCTTGGAAGTTCCATGAAGTTCCTCACCCTCCAACCACCTGAAAACGTCTGAAGGAAGCTCGGATCCGAGCTCGCTTGACCCCCCAAAAACCAGCCAACTCGTGGACCTACTGAGTCGCTCCAGGAACCAAGTCGCGACCCCAGTGACCCATCGGTCCATCGATCCGATCCAGAGACAGACCCGTCCTGCATGCGCTGAGCGATGTGCCTGAGCGATGCGCCAAAAGCTGTGGCACTGGGAGGTCCCTCTACACTCACAAATCATCACACAGGACCACATTGCGTTTTACATCTTTGACGTTGTATCACAAGTTAATCACAAGTGACACATGATGAAACAGCAATGTGCATCATCCAAACATCTATCTTCCTACAGCTCAATTCATGTTGGACAAATCCTGCCTCTTTGCTGCAGGATCTACCTGGGTAATGACCCTGGTAATGCAACATTCATTCTTCCAGAAGGCTCCTTGTTGTTCAGATGCTAGACTTGAAGCCTTGGACACACTCTCTATAAAGCTAGCCCGTCCTGTTCACCCACCAAACCGGCCGAATGTTGCACACGAAACCATGTTGACGGACGTCAGTCTGCGCCAAAAGACAACTAGAAGGCTTGGACCCGACACCTGGACCCTTGAAACTCGATGTGTTTGAGGCTAATTCTTAGTGTAGAACATCTCTCTCCAACAAAGGCTTCTATATTGTTAGTTTAGTTCTATAGCACAACGCTTGGGGAGGTTATTTTTCATCTGGAGATAACCTGAAAACCAGCCAGGGGATCAGTAAACATTTTCGTAGAGAGCGCCAATTGGATAGGCCCTGTTGAAATGTAGTGAACAACAGGGAGTATGTTTATAGGACCAATGCCATCATCTTGACTCAAAAGCTAAAGTGGCCCCAAGACACTGAGCAAGTGATTTCCCAGTCATCCACTGAGAGTATAGTTTGGATCATCATCTGCCGAGTTCCAAAGCCGTGATTATTCTGGAGGTAGGGGTGTCCAGTGGGCCCGCTATATCCCGCTATGCACTCAGTTTCAAGAAATATCAAGTTTTTGCAACCGTTCCCTTGAGGATCACGGTGCGAAACTGGGCAAAAGGTTGCTAGCTTTGCAAGCAAAAGTTGGGCCCCAAACACTCCTTGTATGCCTACATTATAGTCACATTGACGGTTCGCTTTTAGAATTATATAGGCACATAGCAGGCGTCCGGACCCTCAAAACCCTATGTGCTTGAGGGTCCACATTCTTAGTGTAGAACATATCTCTCCAACAAAGGCTTCATAGTAAAAGAACAATCAGTTATTTCAAATTCTATATTATCACAACGCATGCGGAGGTTGTTTTTCATCTGGAGATAACCTCCACAAGCCAAGGGTTCGGTAAACATTTGTGTAAAGAGCACCAATTGGATAGGCCCTGGATCTGTTGCAACGCAGTGGTCTGTCGAACTGCGTGAAAGGATAATAGGACCAACGCCGGGAGTATGTTAAAGAGTATGCCATCATCTTGACCCGAAAGCTATCAACAAACGTGGCCCCAAGACACTGAGCAAGTGATTGTTTCCCAGTCATCCACGGAGACTGAGAATATAGTTTGGAACAAGCATAATCATCTGCCGAGATCCAAAGCCGTGATTATTCTGGAGGTAGGGGTGTCCAGTGGGCCCGCTATGCACTCAGCTTCAAGAAATGTCAAGCTTGTTGCAACCGTGCGAAACTGGGCGAAAGGCTGCTAGCTTATTGCAAGCAAAGTTGGCCCCCAAACACTCCTTGTATGCCTACATTTATACCTACATTGACAGTTCGCTTTTAGATTTATAGCCATGTCTTCCAGTCTTTAGGATGCAGCCTTTCCCTTTCCCAGTTTCCCAATCGTTGTGAAAAGACTTCCTCCCCCATATCACTGTGGGTCATGGCACCAGGATGCCGACCAGTTGACCCGACATAGCCAGTCGTTCGCTCCGCGTTGGTCGAATGAGGTCGTGTCGTGTCCGAGGGGCTTCACAAGTGGCTCGTCCAAGGGCGCCTGGCCCAACGCCTTGATGCCTGAGACGAGTTGAGTGCGCTCTTTAGGTTTGAAAGAACTACCAGGGTAAACAAGCCGGATGGTTGTTGGATGGTTGGATGGAGATACCAATGGTCTGGTCTGGTCTGGTCGTTGTTCCAAGCATTCATTGGAAGTTGAAGCTAGAACGCAGAGCTTGTTCTTCACTCCAGTGGATTCAAGGCCTTGTGCGACCAGGTTCGCACTGGCCGAAGGAAACCAAGACTGGAAGAATCTCACCGTTTGCCCTGGATTTGCTGTCCAGGGACCGGGACAAGAATGAAAGTGACATAAACAAGTTCCATCAATTTCCCCCAGAACAATGATGTCCGACCAAACGGACATGGAGACCGGCCAAGGTGCTCCTCAAAGCGTGACCACTCCTTGTTTGAAGCGATGCCCATGTTGCCTTTGCCAGAAAGATCCAGCGCGTGGCCTGTCCATGGCCTGTCCATTGGTGATCTCAAGCCCCATTTTCAATGGCGATGGATCCGAACACGACACGGTGCTCGAAGTGTGTCCTGGCACAGGTGTGTTCAGCTGGTTCTCTTCACAACTCTTGGTGTGGTGTCCCGGAGCGAATTCCAAGAGCACCGTCATGGACGAATGGATTTTTGCATCCCCCACGCGCACCGGCCCCCACGCGCGGGCACGAATCCGGCGGTTCCTGAGTTTCAGGCATGCTTCACCTCGACGGGTGGTCGTCATGGGGTTGGCCCCAAAGAGAACATGTAGGGCACTGTAAGAACATGTGGGATAGTCCATGGGGGTACATACCGACATACTGAAGATATGGAATGATGACTCTTCAGAGTCGATGTCCCCTGAGACATGCAAACTACTGGTGTCCACCTGGTACCTGAAAAATAGACCCCACACATATCCTGGCAATCAAGATCAATTAAGCAAACAGTGTGTAACCTGAGTTCGCCAGGACTCATGGCGTGCAGGAACCACTTCAGCCTGGACCTTTGGACATTGAATTCCGTGGCAGGTCGCCGAGCGCCAGCGCCAGGGGAGGTGTATCGGTCGTGGTGCAAATCCACGACAGTTCTTGACTAAAGTGGTCATTCGTCGCAGGTTTTGGCGGTTGCTCATCATGTTGGATGCGTTGTTCAATAGGGAGAGCCTGAGAAACCCACCACCACAGGATTCTAGCCTGAAAAGAGTGATTTCTTTTACTGATCCATACTGATTTAAGCAAACTTGAGTTTGAACACCACCGAAGCAAACGCCTTAAACCGCGCGTGTTTTTTGCAAACAACATGTCCCACTCAGGCAGCACCCTGGCAGTTCGTCTTCGCCTGCTTGATGAAGCTCAGTTTGGCACTGTGGACCTGGCACGGTCAAAGAAAAAAACAAGATCCCACCGGACCAGGCACCGCTTCGCGGACAACTTGACAAGTTTTATTTTCTTGATAAATCCTCCACGGGAAAAAAAGACAGGGCTTGTGGATCAGGCTGGATCCATGATAATCCCAGACACGTACCATGCAGGTGATTCTCATGCCTACATGGACACCCTTTTCAACCATCCCAATGTATAGGTTTAAAAAATAGGCTATACAATCTTTGGCAACCAATGCCGTGACGAACTGGTCCCAAGCCCAAAGACTTTTGAGTTCTGCTGGAACTAGTCTGAAGAACACTTACTTTACATAGAGGCGTCGCAACGGGCCTTCCAATGTCCCATGGAAATCAAAGCTGGCGTAGAAACGTCATCTGATGTCATATGCATGTAGCATGCATATGTGATCTGTTCTTGGCTTCACAAAGCCAACGCACTATGACGCAGTGGCTGTGACATTCAAGCGTCAAACCTTCGAACCGCCTCTTGAACCCTCCGGGCGAACGTGGGCCCTGAACCGCCCTGAACTGCCCTCGATGGCGCGATTCGATGGCGCTGCCGAGGTTCCCGGTGGCGCAGCTCTTTCGTCGTTGGCGCCTAAGAGCTGATCCTCCGGCTCTTGCAGCCATTCTTGAACCTGGAGAGCACAGGTCGAGGCCACGGAGTGTGGAGAGTGTGGTGAGAGATTGGAAGACTGGGTGGAGGAACCCAATGAACTAGCAACGTTTTGGAAAGAGCACGCATTTGGTTTGTTCAATTCAACAAAACCATAGAAAGGGTGTCGCTCACATACGCATGTGGCCCATGCATAAGATCTGACAATTTGGGCTCGATTTTGTCAGGCTGTGCAAGCCGATGTACATACAGCACGGAGAAAAACAATATAGTCGTGAATATGGATGTTGCAAGATCAATGCAAACTGTTGCAGGTCCTCCTTGTGGGTTTATGGTTGTTTCATGATTCTTCTATGTTTATGGGCTTTGACTAAAGAATCACCTTTTGAAGCGGACTCATCGCTTACTGCTTTAGACATGTTTTTCTCCCAAGAAAGGCGCATCAGATTTTAGTGCTGATGTCACACCTAGTACAGTGAACAGGATGAACAATTGACGACCTGTCAATGGAAGTTCAAACAAATCCGGAAACGCCCATGACCCCCCTTTGTCTGTCTTAGGACCTGTGCAGGTGACCACGGATATGACTTTATCATGTCCACAATCTCGCATCCCTGTAGTTCACATCCAGAACACCTTAGTTTCCTGCATGTTTTCTCCCGTTTGACGCACTCCAAAGGTGGTAACGCACCAGTGATATATCTCAAACTTCAGAGTCCTGCTGACTGGTGCGACTCGTAGGGAATGAGGGTGGCTGGATCCAAAGGAATCTCTATTGGGGGCGAAACTTCCCTCATTCCCTACTAAGTACCAGTCAGCCTGTCAAAGGTCAAAACATGAAAACGTCAGAACCCATGAAAAACCTCATCTGGAAGACGATTGAACGATCGACCAAACACTGATCCTGAAAGAGGAATGCCAGACACCAACCTGTACGTTGCATGAGGATCTGGTCAATCTCAACGGGACTGGTCACAGGCCACCGAGTGAGGAACCCCACCAAGCGAGGCTGGCCTCCTCCTGCGGAAGCTTCAGGGCTGCCCGAGAAGCTAACCTCAAGTGATAAGAAGATTGGACATACGCGGAACTGGGAAGGTCCATATGGTTGATATGGATCCACACAGCTTCTCAGAAGCTGTTTGGACCCTCCAAACATCCATCAAAGTGGCTTCAAACACCTGAGAGGGTATGTGGATCCATAGGCATGGGTGTGGAGACCCCAGATGCCCCACTGGGCCGACTGGTGTATTTCCCGATCTATCCAAGGGGTCGGAATGCCGGGGGTCGGTCTCCAAAAGCTACACACCCCACATCCACATCATGCACATGAACGTTGTGCGGACTCTTGATTCTAGTTCAACACTTCAACACCCCAGATGAGGTTTCACAATCAAAAACACACATTTACTTACATTGAATTTGGGCATGTTTTGACTAATAGACTAATTGGGTCCTCTATGCAAAAACAAATGACGGTGGCCCCTAGCGCAACGATACACAGGCAAAAATCCTTGTTGGGCCTTCGGTTCTAACAATGCGGAACTTGCCCGCATGCGCGCGGTGGTTTTAAAACCTGGGCTGGGGGTTCACTTCCAACTCTACTCCGCAACAACATCTGCGAGGGTGCATAGAGTGCTTGGCAAGCGGCTCGCACAACTCTGCCACAGGGTGCTGCCGGACAAATTCGCCCTCAGATGAGCGAAAGGAGAAAACACGATGATCAAACTAAATTGGTAAGCTTAACCTCAATGTGTTTGAACTGTTTCTCTGCGTGGCACGACGGTCTAACTATACTATCTATATGAAAATGAACATGACTTCATATACATTTCCATCTAAAGTTCATTTACCTAATTTCACCGCCTGTCGCAAAGATCACATTAGTACATTATAGTTAGTAGCATGACATAGCATGACTATATAGATATAAAAAGTTCCCACCTAAACACCTGTTCAAAAGGTAGTTGTTGGTTTCTGTTTGGGGGTGGCAGGGAATATCGGTACCATGGGACACTCCAAAAACCAAGCAAATAAACTATTCGACCAAGACAAAATATGCTAAACCAAATATGAGGAGTTACAACAGATAGTTCTGATACTAGTTCTGATTATTTAAATATATATTTGGATATTATATCTGTGTTGAATTGTCAAAACAATCAACCAAACAAAGTAAATAAAAACTATTACTAAAAACGAAAAAACCAACCAAGAAAACCCATGAAAGATCTGTGTTCATCATAGTTTCAAACATATATTATTTGCGATAATAATGATTAATCATTTTTGAATACATTCTACGCAAATAAACCTATATATATATCTACAGTTCTATATATATATATATATATGCATATGCGTTCCCAAAATTGCAACAACCTCCAAAAACTTTAACAATTTGGCCAATTATGCCCACCATCAAACAACATCTGATCAAGCGAGCTTGCATTGGTGGCATACTTTGACACTTGCTTTGACATCTAAAAGTATATATACCACTAACATAATTTCTATATTTACAACAAAATAAAGCTATAAAGAACTCCCAAACGGCCAAAGGAAGAACATTCAGAAATAGAAATGTGTTCTTCAACTAGTAAGCTATTGACGAGCACGCGCTGCCTTAAATTTTTTCAACGCAGGCTTAACATGTGTTTTTCCCCAAGCAGTGTGGTCACACTAAGGGTATCTAGGGTTCTTACAGTAGTATATATATATGGTTAGGGCCGGTGTCTAATCGAGGTGTCGAGGTGTGGCGCGGTCGGGTTCGACGGTCCGACTAGTTCGTTGCTATTTTTACAGTATACAGTATACACTCATGCCTCTCGAAATCCTCGAAGTGCATTTCGATTGCGCAGGCTCGCAAATCTGGCGGGGCGCGGCCGGTGCTTGTCGCGACCCACCACCACCACCACCACCACGATCTCCACCTTCATCACAACCACCATCACCACGATCTCCACCTTGCGTCTTGATCTCTAGAGGTGTAGCAGCCTCTCACACTCACCATACCACCATCACCACCACCACCACCACCACCACGATCTCCACCTTTATCACCACCATCACCTCTCTGGACCCCAATGCGTCTAGATCTCTAGACTTTCTGCTGCTACACCTCTAGACCTCACACACATTGTTTGGGGTCTCTTGCCGGGATAATTTTACAATATATTCACGCTTCCTTGGCTTTCGGAGGATGTTTCCACTTTGTTATATAACCAAATTGGGTCCCTTGTAGAGGGTGCGATTCTGCACCACTTCAACAGCTTGCGCTGCTACTTTGCTGCGGGCGGCTGTGGCTGCTGCTGGTGCTAGCTGGACACCTAAAGCTGTAAACCTTTGGGCCTGGTTCAACAAGGGTCCACATGTTTGTTTCTGGCCTGTTTTTCAGGACGTTTGAGATTGAAAAGGGCAGACCACAACAACGCAGTCGCCTGAGCATTCAGTTCCTTGAACAACTCTGGCATAGGGTTGATACTCTTGGGCTCTTGGACCTTTTTTCGGCCCTGTTTGGATCTCTTTCAAGAACGGCTCAAATTCAATGATTTCAGGGCAACCAGTGAAAACGGGCACACTGTTGAACTTGTTTAAAGCAACGTTTGAACATTGAACCAGCGTTCCATGCATTTTGAGGTTTCTGTTTCATGACAAACTGGCTGAACAGAACGCATGTTGATCCCTAGTGTTCCGCTGTTTTAGAGACATTTGAAATGCACAAGCCCACAGCAAAACACCTTTTGGACCTTACCGTTCTGATGGTTTTTACAGATTGGGCGTGACTTGGCGTGACTTCGTTAAAGCAGCGTTTAGGTTGGGGAAGGCATTCCAACGTGACCAAGGCATGACTAATAAGGTGTGACAGGTTGGAAGCGCATTTCAGGTCACTGGCTTTATGCATGGAAGAGATCAGACTTTTTTCACCATCTGGCATGACGCGTGAGTTTTTGTCAGAGATTGTCCACAGGATGCAACATCGAGATCCGGCATCTCCCTAACTTGATGCACCATGTATATTTGTTGGCTATCCCATCCTGGAGCGTTCGTCCAAATCTGAGGAACTTTTGATGTTTTCCATCAGGACCTTTCAAAGCCAAAGCAACAGTTGGATTGTAATTACATCATTGCAATCATAGCAAAATATTCAGCTTCGATCTTGGTGACAAGGCTGCTCCTCCCACGTGAAACTTGCCGCTGAGCATCGAGCACTTGCACAAACGTGTACTGAGCATCAAGCATGTCCAAAGCGGAATTGTTTCGTGGACGGGTTCCACACCGCCCCACTACAGGAAGCCTGAACAAATTCAGTGACCATTAAAAAACAAAGAATCCAAACAACAGACTTACAGAGGTCAGGCAGGGAGTAGGAATGGACCTGTATATAAACATGCTACTCCCTGGGCCAGTCGGAATCAGAACTAATAAGAACACAAACAATGTGGTGAACTGTGATGCAACCCTAGGATTGGAAGGACTTAAATCTCTTTCTCCTCTACCATATCTTTCAGACCCGGCCGGCCGCTGAGCTGAACCACATCTGAGCGGCGAATTGCTGGTGGCACGCTTGTGCTGCCTGTGGTCGGCGCAGCAGAAGACGCAGGAACCTCAAATCCTCCAACAATGAAGTGGAATCAATAAAATTAGGGATTTGTGCTTTTCGCAATGCGGTGCCGTTCCCAATGTCGAATCCACAAAGTTAAAACACAAAAAAAAAAACATTCTCGAACAAACAATTCGATTTTGACCTGTCCCCAAGATGTCACGACTCAATGGCACCAGGGAAACGGCATAGTTTCGACATGTTTTGATGCGTCCAGGAGCAAATCACACATGAGAAACCCTGCTTTCACATCACTTTTGTATGAAGTGGTGTTGGTTGACCACCAGGTCTGTGTGGTTTCCATGTTTGTGGTTGGGCACCTGGAACGAACCCAACTACATCTCCACCGCGATTCTTGGGCACCCTCAGATTGACCGTGAAACAAAGCTATCTTAGAGGTTCAGGCCGCAGGGGGTTCACCGGTCAATTGATGTACGTACGTTAATTTCTATATCGATGTCACAGGTTTCTGGGAACAGAAGATCAAACTCACAAGGAGGCAAGGGCAAAGTCAACACACGCTTCTTGAGCCAGGGCTTGCCAATCAACTCACCAGCTGTCTTTGCAATGTCCCACTTGCATTGGCCTTCCCTGCCTAGCTGGGCCTAGATTAGATGTGACTCAGAATCAGGCAATCCTGTCACACCACCACAGATGATCAGTCCATTCCCTCCAGGCTCGCTCGCAACATAACTGTCTCACCCTGTCGCCGTCTCACCCTGTCACACCACACGTCTCCCCCCAAAGAATCCAACGGTCCTTTTTTGGCTGTGCCAGCAGGACCGTTGGAACTTCATAGATACATCAAACCCCAAAACAAACGGATCACCAGCCCTGGTGGTTTCAACTCCAAAATATGTGTCAGTGGGTTCAATCATCTCAAGTCAAGGTTAAAAACAAACATGTCTGCAACCACCACCCAGTCCAAAACCGTCAACAAAAACGCCTCCAAGGCAGGGCCCTGGTGACTGGGCTGTGGACCTTTGCGGAAGCTCACCTGGTGACTTGCCGAGCTATGCCGATCCGAACACAGCATGCAACATATGTTGTGGGTCGCCTGGTTGGTGCATCTGCCCCTCTCAGGAGGATCCTTTTTGGGGATCATGCAAGAAATCGCACTTCTCTTAGCCAAAGCCGTCGGAATTTCAAGGAATCACTTCAATGTGTTGCAATCTTCTGAATTAACTTCAAAACAGCCAAAGCTAGGACTGATTCCAGAATGACGCTTCTCATGCATCCCTTGAGAGTAAGTATCACTAGCATCCTGTGCGGTATCTGCACCAAGAAAGTCATACACGCCCAGACACAAACACTACAAGAAGGTGCTTGTAGCTCAAGCCCAAATACAATTGATCTCTTGCAATTTTGGGCACTAGATGGCAATAGCAACGAAGACCGATGGTGGTCATCCCGTGTCATCCCGTGTCGCGCTGCCAGAGCACTGTGTTGAAGCCGTGCGAAAGCATGAGGAGCCTGAGAGGGGCTTCAGCCGATGCTGTCCGATGGCAGCCGAAAAAACTGCTGGGATGTCCAGGTCCGAAGCGGAGGGCCTCCAGTGCTCAGGTGTCAGGTCCGCTAGCCATACAAAACAAAGAACATGCTCTGACTCAATGGAAGTGGACAATGGTCCCTTGGAAGACTACTTTGCTCTACCAACAGGGGATCTCCACTTTCATGTTGGTGAGTCAGAAATGACATCCACACTGTTTGGCACCTCCACCACTACACACTGACCGGAGAGTGATCGGTTTCAATGCAGACGCATGCACAGGCCCTAGTTGGCAGCGCCTCCAGTTGCTGCCGATTGCAAGCGTCCCGTGATCGAAACTCCTAAAACTCTTCCGCAAACACTCCATGTATGGCATATCCCTACATTGGGTTGGTTGTAAAGGGGTCAATGTAGGCATGTAAATCACATGTACATAGTACATGGTACGTGTCTGGGTTCTGGGCTTATCGGAACGACTCCACGACCTACAGAACGAGGCCATCAATGAACTTTGTCCATGATATACAGCTTGTTTCAAGAAGTCCAGGTGATCCTCTAAAGCACAGAACTGTGCTCGCCACATTGAACATGTCCTGCAACTGACTGAGCAGTTCATTCTCTTCAAGCGTGGTGAATTCAGTTCAGACACCTAGAGCTTCATGGGGAATGCAAATCAACATATATATATATATATCGACTGTCCCCACTCTAGCCCCCCTACCTACCCGTCCCTACCTAACCCACTTCAGGTCTCTGCGCGTGGGGCCCCCTGCTGACTTCGTAACACGCCCTCCAACCACGGCCGCATCCTCGGCGTTCGATGGATGAAATTCGCAGTTCGCCCAAACTTGGGGGCGAAAGAATCGGTGGAGGAAACGGCTGAACCATGCTGAGCCAACATATCAGAGTCTCACCATATTGGTCCATGCCAGGCATGGACCATCTTAGTTGCGCAAAAATTGTGCGAAAGTCAATGTATCATAATGTAGCCAGCCAATACAAAGGATCCTGTTGCCAATACAAAGGATACAAAGGATCCAATAGTCTATGAATGGCCCGTGTGGAGGGACCGAAATCCACATGTGTCCCAGCACATGCAATCCCAACACCCTGGACTAAAAATAAACCAGCAAAACGCACGAACCTAAACTAGGAGCCCCAGCATCCCCAGACAAAAATCAAAAATTCAGGGACACGATAACCTATCATGAATGACACACTTGGATCCATGTTCGCAAAAGCTCTATCAGTTTGGCAACCACGGTGTTACTGCAAGTAGACCTTTACTCGCAATTATGGCTGACGGAACGGAAAGGTGACTGAGTCCGCAGAACAGGAATGTTTAACATCACGCATTAGCCCTTTATGGAAAAGTGGTGTTCAAGATTGGGCAACAGTTCATACAGAAGAAAAGGAGAAAAAAATGTGGTCACCAGCTGCGACTTACAAAGCGTCCAGGTGCTCTACGGCAGGTACTTTGTCACAGGAAGCGTGCAGCGTCTTCGTTGGACGCTGACTGCACGAACCCCCAGCGACCCCCTGCTAAACTGTACAAATGTGTCAGAGATCGTTGGAAACAGAAGTTGACGCAAACACACACACACACACACGCGCGCAGTTGTTATAATTGTTCGGGTGGAAGTTCATCCAGGCCCATCTTGCAGTGTTCACTATGAGTTCTGTGCACATTCAGGAACGGTTTCGTGAATCACCAGTGTGCATGAACAATCATAAAAGAGTTTAAATGGGCCTTTACTCGGGGCCTGTTTGTCGACAGCGCCCCGCATGCTCAAATCGATACAGTACAATTACTAATGTCTGCGATGGTTGGACATGCACAAAAATTGTCCCAAACCGGTGTTTAAAAAGGGCGGGCCTCACTTTTTGTTGGCAAACCTCTGAAACTGCACGCATGCCTGTGGAAACCACGCATACCAGTGAACAACCTTTTTTTCCGAGAGCGTCTGAGCGAAGGGTTTTTCAAAAAGAAGGAGGTGTAAATAGATGTACGTACAAAAGATCTTCGAATCTGACATCTTCTCACATCTCATATCTTCTCACATCTTCTCACTTCTGACATCTTCTCACATCTCATATCTTCGCACATTTTCTCACATCTGACATCTTCTCACATCTCACATCTTCTCTCACATCTTCTCACATCTGACATCTTCTCACATCTCACATCTTCTCACATCTTCTCTCACTCACATCTTCTCGCAAATCTTCTCACATCTGACATCTTCTCATACTCACATCTTCTCTCACATCTGACATCTTCTCACATCTGACATCTTGTCACATCTTCTCACATCTGACATCCTCTCACATCTCATATTTTCTCACATCTGACATCTTCGCACATCTCACATCTTCTCACAGCTTCTCTCACTCACATCTTCTCTCACATCTTCTCACATCTGACATCTTCTCACATCTGACATCTTCTCGCATCTCACATCTTCTCACATCTGACATCTTCTCACATCTCACATCTTCTCACATTTTCTCACATCTGACATCTTCTCACATCTGACATCTTCTCACATCTCACATCTTCTCACATCTGACATCTTCTCACATCTCACATCTTCTCTCACATTTTCTCACATCTGACATCTTCTCACATCTCACATCTTCTCTCACATCTTCTCACATCTGACATCTTCTCATACTCACATCTTCTCTCACATCTTCTCACATCTGACATCTTCTCACATCTCACATCTTCTCACATCTTCATCTCTCTTCTTTTTTCTTTCTCTCTTAAGGCGGGGGGCAGGTCCGGCGGACCACGAACGTCAACCCTCTGCGGAGATCGTGCGTGTCGGACGCACGAAACCTACAGGCGAAACTGCGATCCTGCCGGGGCCGTGTGCAACCCTCTGCGGGGATCGCGCGAAACCCTAGGTGAAACGCTTCACTTTTGGAGGAAGTCTCGTACGAAACGCTCATTTTGGAGACTTGGCGCTTCACTTGTGGAGCTGGACTCAGACCTGGCCAGTTTGTAGTGCAAATGTAGTGCGGGAAAGGGCTTTTCGGAGCTGGACACAGAAGTGGCCAGTTTGTAGTACAAATGTAGTACGGCAAAGTGCTTTTCGGAGCTGGACTCAGACCTGGCCAGTCTGTAGTACAAATGTAGTACGGGAAAGAGCTTTTCGGAGCTGGACTCAGAAGTGGCCAGTCTGTAG